TTGTTAATACTATTAATAATATTATTGATATTCATATTATTATTATTTTAGAAATTTATCATCATCATCATTATTGTTTTTGTTATTCTTACTATTATTATATTTTATGATTATTATTATCACAATGTTATCATGATCATTATAATTATTTATATTATTTTTATCATTATTCTTATCATTTTCAATATTTTCATTAATATTATTCCTGTTATTATGAATATTACCATTCTCTTTATCAAATCTATTCTTCTCTTCCTTCTTCTTATTATTATTATCATTATTGCTATTAATTTTAATATTATTCTTATTCTTTATCATTATCATTATTATCATCATCATTATTACCCTCATTGCTGGTATTATTATCATTACTATAATTATTACCATCTATCCTTATTACCATTATTACCATCATCATCACTATCATTTCAATTATCATTGTTATCGTCATCATAAAATCATACTCATTATCAACATCATTATCATTAGCATCATCATTATCATTATTACCATTGTTACCTGTTTCAAACTACCTTGATCATTACTGTAATAATGATAATAATAACTAGAAGCACTTAGAGAGCGCATACCTCCGCCAAGGCAACAGTCACTGATGCAATTAAAATATTCACACTTGAAGAATTACATTAAAATCACTTTAAGTAAAATATTCACACTTAAAGAATTACATTAAAATCACTTCTTTCTCAAGAACACGGGTGACGTCCGTGTTTCCTTAATTCATATTGCTAATGAATTAAAAAAAAAATTCTTGGATCCGGATCACTACCACTGTTAGGCCAAAAAAAAAACACCTCTGGTAAAAATTTCATAAAAATCTATCCATACCTTTTTGAGTTATCCTGCTAACCAACAAACAAACTAACCCACGCTACCAAAAACATAACCTTGACATACGTAACAATAATTATAGTGTTTTAAGTTATCCTGCTAACCAACAAACAAACTAACCCACGCTACCAAAAAACATAACCTCCTTGACATACGTAACAATAATTATAGTGATCATAATTATTAATTATTCTTAACCTACACAGGTTTTAATGCGAATGGTTTAAGAGGCACATATTAATTCCGCCTAATATAGCTTCTAAATGGACCCTAAAAAACAGAATGTCGATGCTAATGATAACGATAATTATGATAATTAGCGTTCTAATAGATTTGCGAGTAATGACTGAAGATTAATGATGATAACAAGAATATAAAGATAATAACAAAGAATATTAACAATAATGATAATAAAGAATAATGATATAACAAGAATATTAACAATAATGATAATAACAAAGAATATTAACAATAATGATAATAACAAGATAAGAATAATAATGAAATTACTAAATAAAAATTATTCTGATCAGGATTAACAGCTATACTGATTATGTTAATGATGATAACAATGATTTAAATGATGATAATGGCAATCCTCATAATGGCTGATACAAAATCATGATAATAATGATGATAATGAAAATAATGACGGCGACGATAATGATGATGAGTGTGACAGTGATTATCATGAAGATGAGTTTCACGGCGGTTGTGGCGATGAAGATAGAGAAAGAAAAGAAACAAGAAAGTGTGTGAAAGAAATAGAGTGAGAGAGCGAGTGAGTGAGTGAGAATGTGAGTGATATATATATATATATATATATATATATATATATATATATATATATATATATATATATATATATGTTGTGTGTGTGTGTGTGTGTGTGTGTGTGTGTGTGTGGTGTGTGTGTGTGTGTGTGTGTGTGTGTAAAAGGAGAGAGAGAGAGAGAGAGAGACAGAAAGAGAGAGAGAAGAGAAAGAGAGAGAGAAAGAGAGAGAAAGAGAGAGAAAGAGAGAGAGAGAGACAGACAGACAGACAGAGAGAAAGAAGAGAGAGAGAGAGAGAGAGAGAAGAGAGAAGAGAGAGAGAGAGAGAGAGAGAGAGAGAGAGAGAGAGAGAGAGAGAGAGAGAGAAAGAAAGAAAGAAAGAAGAAGAAAGAAAGAAAGAAAAAAAAAGAAAGAAAAAGAGAGAGAGAGAGAGAGAGAGAAAGAGAAAGAGATAGAGATAGAGATAGATAGATAGAGAGAGAAAGAGAGAGAGAGAAAGAGAGAGAGAGAGAGAAGAGAGAGAGAGAAGAGAGAAGAGAGAGTGAGGGTTAAAAAGAAAGAGAGAGAAGAGTGAGAAAAGAGAGCGAGAAGAGAGAAGAAAAGAAAGAAAGAGAGAGGAGCGAGGGAGAGAGAGAGAGAGAGAGAGAGAGAGAGAGAGAGAGAGAGAGAGAGAGAGAGAGAGAGAGAGAGAGAGAGAGAGAAGAGAGAGAGAGAGAGAGAAAGAGAGAGAGAGAGAGAGAGAGAGAGAGAGAGAGAGAGAGAGAGAGAGAGAGAGAGAGAGAGAGAGAGAGAGAGAGAGAGAGAGAGAGAGAGAGAGAGAGAGAGAGAGAGAGAGAGAGAGAGAGAGAGAGAGATAGAGATAGATAGAGAGAGAG